AGCGCGATTGTTGGAGTTAAGTGTATCGTAAAGTTATATTCGGAAAGAATAAACCAGTTTTATTAAGTAAGGACTTGTGTCGCTAAAGTTTTGTCGGAACGAATTTACGGAAAATCAATTAACGACTGGAGGCGTAACAATATGGACGATTTACAGTGGTGGGCAGAGCACAGATAACCCATTGTATAGCTTCATGCTTAACAAAACAGAAAAACAAAAACAATACTCAAATATAAAATGATTACTAGAAGGAAAATGCCTAAAAACATTTCCTTCTTACTGTATGTTTATGTGCATGCAAAGCAGGACTAATGAGTTAAAGTCATTTCACTTTTACTGTAGTCGCTAAAGGCATTTAAAATGGAAAATGCAAAACGAACAGCACTATGGGCGTTTTCTAAATGTATAATTGATATATTTAATAAAGGCGAGTTTAAGACAAGTGGCTAAAATTCAAATATCTTCTTCCGTTTGATACGTCTTAAAATGTTTCCTTGTGCCTCTCTCACATTTCTGAAAACATTGATAAATTTATCTTGTTATTATTCTAAGCTATAAGTAGCATATTAAAAAAGCAAGCTAGGGAACTGGATAAACCATAATTCTTACATGTATGTTTATGGAGAAACAATTTTTAAGTTCTAGTGTATTTCTGAATAAAATGTAATTATCAATTATACGTTTTTTGAAGTTTCATGATATTAAATTTAATCTGGCAGCTTTTGTTTTATTTTATAATACTCCTTGTAAAATATTACATGTATATATTTGAGTTAACATTAAACATCTTTGAAATACTAAATACAAAATGTGAAATGCTAGAACAAACGACTAAATATTTAGGTCATTTTTTTTTAGGAGGTTAAGCTTGAAAACTGTTTTTCTTTTCGCTCAAGTCGTCTTAGAAACATTAATTTTCTTTGGAATCAACATAATAGTTAAAAGTTAGAGAAGTTAATAGTATGCATATTACCAAATTGATAGCACACCATGAAGTTTTCTAAGCTATAAGCCCTTAGTGGCTCAGCGATAAGCTTAATGGCTTATAATACTGTTGCGTCAGCGAGGTCACGTGACTGATGTGGCGCCCTCTAGGTTCTAGAACTATCTTGTTCCTTCATGAATGCTCTAGTATTTACTAGATAGGGTAGTCTGGTATATATAAGAGGGGGACAACGTGACGCGGGGATGTAATGTGTGTGTAAAGATAGTGAGTAATTGAACTGCAGTCACAGGGTATTGTTGAAGTTAACGTTCGTTCATTATAGTGTTTGTTTTAGCGCGAATATTGAAATTAAGTGTATCGTAAAGTTATATTCGGAAAGAATAAACCAGTTTTATTAAGTAAAGACTTGTGTCGTTAAAGTTTCGTCGGAACGAAGTTACGGAAAGTTAATTAACAAACGGAGACGTAACAATATTAATATTCGAGATTCGATTCCTGATATGAGAAAAGCACAGATAACCCTTCGTGGAGTTCTGGGCTAAACAGCAAACAAACAAATTCGATTTTAAATGAAACTGTAAGAAATTTTTGAAATTAATGTTTCCATTATAATACAGTTAGCTAATCAATTTTACTGTTATAAAAAAACAAAAAAAAAGAATGTATTAATTTCACAGCAACGCTCCAAAATAAACAAAAACAAATCTCATTTGTTCTTTCTCGTAGCTTCCAGTGACTCAACAGAAAGTTCACGGGTTCGCTACTAAAAACCGTAATCTATCGTGTAGCTTTGTGCATAACAAATAAACAAACAACCTTTTCCTTAAATAGTTAAATCGACTGATTTCTCAAAAACCTACCAACCTAAATTTTTATTTGTATTCTTCGTTATTGAGAAACAATATATACACACACAGGCGTTCTTGATAATTTGAAATACTTGCTTACTTTTTAAATATTTCTTAGTTGAATATTTACTGTTTTGTATAATTGTAAGATCGGGAACAATTAGCTAACGTACTAAAATTAACATCCATTTTTTACAACCACAAAGATTCAAAATGTTATCACCAGAGGGAAAATGAGTTCCAAAATGGCAGCGTTAGGATGTTGGAAGAGAGGTACTTATTTGTTCACGTTATATAAATTGTTATACTTATTACCGATTTGATATTGTATTCGTAGACTTGTAAAAATGTAACTGTAATATAATATAATAACTTGATACATTATTAATTTGTTTATAGTGTCCATCTCCATTATTTATAAAATAATCCCAAATTGTAATGATTCTTCTATTTAGCTTTTTAATGTTAGTAATTAATAGTTTAACTTTAAATTAAACTTAAATTTTAAATTCAAATTTCAATTAGATATCAGAGTTTAGTTTTCTAATTACATTACATATAAATATAGTACTGTGAGGAGTGATGTTGACACAATACTACAGTTTACTAGTATAATACTAAATAATATCAATTAATTAAAATTATTAACGATCGCGTACTCTACTCATGACTAAATGAAAGTCTGGGAAATATATGTATCTTTGGACAGTTACTGTCAACAAGAAATCATTTGATTCTTCATTTTTAAGACTATCCTTTTACACCCACACACACGAAGAAAAGAAAGGTAGAAATAACAATTATAAGCAAAACTTTTACATTTTCAAGAATTCATTGACATTTCTCTTAAATTCAAGATTGTAATAGCTTAAGATGCTTGCTACCACTCCTGCTAGTGACAACTCATTCCTTAAGCTTATCAAACTATTAGTATTATAAAAATTCACTTGTCTTAACTGGAACCTAAGACATCTTTTCCAGATCTTAGAATTGTGTCCATTTGTATTCGGAATCCAACACAAAGAAATCAACTTCCAAAAAATGGGATGCATAATTTTTGGCATGTGTATCTTGGAATGCATGGGCAAAAAAGCTAGAACAACCACTGATGAAGAATGACATCTTAACTGAAATAATATAGACGAGGAACCACACCATAAAAGTCAACATAGTCTAACCAAGAAAGTTTTGGCACTCTAAGAAGAATATATTGTGTAAAATGTGTCATTCAGATTCACAAAATGTTAGATTCATGGACAAATTGACATACGAAATGCAGTTTTACAAAGAAGCATAAACTATCTTGGCTTATTTTACATTTTCAACAGTCACAGTGAACATTTACATAAGTTTGTTAGAATAAATATCCTCATACTTCCCATAGATTTTTACATCCTTAGGTTAAATTACAAGCCTTTTGACAATAATTTATAAACACAGTATATAAAGTTTTTTATATAGTTAAACTAAAACTATGCTGAATCACATTTGGAATGCAGTTGCCATCAAAGTTTATGTGCTCATAAACATTATACCTATTATTTTAAGTTATCTTTTATAAGCTTTAATGCCATCTTAAAATTTGCATTTATGTAAAAGAGAAACAAAAGTATTCAACATCATTAAGGATTTCAACATTTATGATTTAAAAGACAAAAAGTAACATGTAATTAGATGTTGAAGTTCATTATATCTGTAATATATGTATTTCAGGTCAAGATATGTTTTTAAGGGACTCCAATTTTTTGTATAAAAGAAATGTCCAATTATCAGTCCAGTAGTTGACATGTTTCTAACTTTAATATTTAGTTTCAGGCTTGCACAAATACAAGTTTTTCTCTGTTTTTGTACTGAATATATGAAACATTGTAATCCAGATTTCTAAAAAATGTTAGGACCTGGTACTGTTCTGAATTTTACATTGAATGATATTTAAGTAAAAATATAGCAGTTAGACTGAACACAATATTGGTTTTTGCTATTGTAAAGAAAAAAGTAACATTTCTTAAATGTTTTCAAGAACTATTATAGGTTTTTGATTTTGTTTAAAAATAAAATCTGTAATGCATCTTTGATGTAGCTTATTCAACTAGATAGTAGGCATATAAATATAATTTAAGGCCAACAACCGGCTTGTTGGTCTCTCTAGGTAATTCCTTACACTAAAGTAAACTTTCAAATGAAAATAAAACACTCAAAGTCTGCCCTTATTATTAAAATAGATATGAAGCCTTTCCTTAAACTCCCTAAATTAACTACATCTACCACATCTGAAGGTAACCTATTCCATAGATCAACCACCATGTTAGATAAGTAGCTGAAGATTACTCCTACCCTGCCAAATTTTATACTTGGGTCCCCTAGTCTAACCATTCTCTTCATTGTGTATGAAAAAAAGGTGATACATCAACATAATTAATTCCCTTAACAATCTTAAATACCTCAATTAGACCCCCTCTAAATTGTATATTTTCAAGAGAAAATTTCAGAGACCTTAACTTCTCTTTGTATGACAATTTTTACATCCTAAATATAATCATAGTAGCCCTTCTCTGAACCTTTTACAACAATTTAATGTCCTTTCTACGGTAAGGAGCCCAATACTGAACACAATACTTTAAATGTGGCTTAACCAGTAACATATAATATGAAATTATCTCTTTAGATTTGTATTTATTGTTTCTGTATATACAATCTAAAATCCTATTTGCACTGCCACTAACAACAGTACATTGCTTGGATGGCCTAAGAGACTTATCAATTATAACACCAAGATCCTTTTCTTCCATAAAAATTGTTAAGATTACTTCCATCAAAGTTATACTCATAATTCAGATTAAGATATTCCACGTGCATTACCTTGCATGCACCATAAGTAAAATCCATCTGCCATATATTTGCACAGCTCACCATATTACGCAAATCCTTTGTAAAGCAGCAGCAAGCAACACTCAAACCTTAATATCTTCAGCAAGATTAACTCAATGTGTACTGGCTCACTTCATTGGACCGACACTGTATTGGAGAAGAAATATTGACTATAATTTCGAATGCACTATATGTATTGACATGAAATGTGACAAGCGTTTCATAAAATGTATAAAACTTTTGCAAACAAAAAATTTGATGAGGTACAAAGGTACTTGTACTCAAAATATGTCTGTGAATTGTTGGCATCAGTCTGACTCAGACAATTTGGAGAACAAAGTGATTTTTCATGTGAAGAATAAAGATACTTTTGTCCATAGTATGGTTTGTATAACTTCTAAAACCTCTGAAATGCGTATCTACAGTTTCTTCAATATCCCTATATACTGTATCTGGTATTTACTCTCCTCTACCACAAACTGTTGCTAAATCAGCAATGTAGAGTAAAACGAGTAGTTGATAACTCTGACATAAAATATATAATATTATGGTGAATGGTACTCCGTAAAAGGTCACGGTTTACACACTTTGACCATCACCTGTGCACATAGGGTTATATAAGTTATTGATCATTCCTCATCTATGTCAGTGATGTAAATCAAAGAGAGCAAAGATCCTAACACTGAGCCTTTTTTTCCTTCTCTTTACTACTTTGGTCCATACCACGACTACAGCTCTGTCCCTCCTTACTTGGTTTTTCTGCTGCTGGGACTTATTGGGTTGGAATGCTCTCCTTTCTAATTACCACCTCCCTGTTTCTTATAGTGATCTTCATCAGGCTCTCCTTCTTTGCCTGGAAGTTTTCAGTAGTATTCCTGATTCACTGGAGACCTGGGATGAAACAGTCCAGAATCATTCCTCATTATCTTTTCTCATTTTCCATCTTTCTCAACTTTGCCATACCCTTCCCATTCCAGCTTCTCAGCCTTTCCCTTATTCCCATCTTCCTACTTTCCAGTCTCGGGTTTATCACTGGTGTCTACTTTGTTGGGTCAGGCCAATGGATGCCCATCTGTCTCACTTTTGTAACTCTTATTCTCAGTTTTCTGCAGATAGGTGGATTCTTCAGGTTCTCACCCATGGTCTTTCTCTCCATTTCTCTTATCTTCCCCCTCTTACCATTTCCTTTTCTCCTTCCTCCTATCCAATCTGTCTTCAACATCTCAGGAATGTGGTCTCATATCTTTAGGCCAAACACACAATCAAGAGATTTACTCCCAATCACTGGGTTTTTACTCTCACTTCATTTGCGGCCCTCTAGAATACTGAGGACATCTCACTTCTCAACTGGTTTCTGGTTGTTTCACAGTTCTGGGTGTAAAATTTCTTTTCTCTCTGGTGGTCTTTTTCACACAGTCTGTGGATGACCAAGGTTGACATGTTGAATGCCTTTGTATGTATCCCGATTGCCCCATCCTCTTGACATTTTCTATGTTTCATCCATTGGAATCAATTCTATGCTCTTACCTTTGGCATAACCTCAGTGCTTTGTGTCTTCAGTGGATAACTAGGACCTTCATGAACTGAGGCTGAGATTCCATTTCTACATGGACAGTTAGCTTCTACTTGCCCCTTCTTGGGAAGTGTCTTTCTCTCGCACCTCTCTTTTTCTGCAGAAGGATGCTTGATTGGAATGGCTTGTCAAGCTTTCTAAATCCTTTCTTGTGCCCACTTAGTATTTAGTACCTCTGGGCATTTTCATTAACTTTCATCTTAGTCAGGATCCACCTTTCATTCTTCACCTGCGGGCCATGAAATTTATGCAGGGCTTGACATTAATGGTTGTCCAATTGCCTGGGACAAGTCAAATCTATGTTCATTCAACTGAAAAATCATATTTACTTGCTTGATCAGACAAGTAAGTTGACCCTTTTGCTGCGATGTTCAAATATATCAGAACAAACATATATACCTGGTAACTGCAAAATTTGGATTTACCCCACGGCTTCCAAAAAAAGTTTCCTTCTACTGCGTCGTGCCGGAACATCCCTGCATCCTTCAAAAAACCTCCATATTTGTGTGCATGCTGCTATCTGTGTGCTATGCCATGAAACACATTTTTGTATATAGTATTTTGAGTAATACATATTTTTCAAGAAACTTAATTACCTGTAATTTACAATTTGCATAGTATTTTGTCTGTAACTACCATAATGTACACTGAAGGATTATTTATAAAAATAAAAACAATGTAAAAAATACAAACTTTTATTTTGCATTTCAATACTGCCAATCTTGCAGGAATGCATTTAACATCTGTATAAAGACTCTTTCTTTATATCTTGGATATTGTTATCGATATATTTATAGTGTTATCTATCTTTATATTTTGTAATAATTTTGACCTCTTATTGATTTAGTTATACATATAATTTGTCATTTATTGAAGAATACTTTCATCTTATTTTCCTTATTTATGTATTAAAATCAAAGATATTTCACTATCCATTGTGGTTTTCAAGGAGAATTAATGTTGGTTATAGAAAATACAACATCTTTTGATGTTGTATAAGTAGTATAAAAGGGTCAAATCCATGATTTTATTTTGTGGTGGATAATTGATCCTTTTCAGCATGAAAATTAATTGCACAGTGAAAGGGTTAAAGTGTTAAAGTAATGAATGAAAAGAAATGTTCTTTGAATCGATTCTAATTGACTGAAAATTCTGTTATGATCTTTCTTTACTACTATTCAATTTAGTGATTTTTTTCTGTTTACATTTAGTAAAGCTATGAAGATTGAACAATTAGAACACGTTGAGATATTTTTAGATAGTCGATCATGCAAATTGAAACGTGACTGACTTGGTATTGCAATCCCTGCAATATTCTAAATGAAACATAAAGATGTTTTATCTTTTATAAGGTTAACTGGTTAAAAATATATTAAAGAGTGATTTTTTTTTGTGTACTTAAATTTAAGTCTTGGTATTAGTGGCATTTTTTGCAATATAAGGTTTGTATTGCTATTAGGTTATGGTAATAGTAAAGATGGCAGTACCAAGCCTGATATTAGGTCTGGTTGCCTAGCAACAGTGTTAAGATAAGATTTCATATTTGAATACGTATAAATGGGATGTCATGGCATCTCAGTTAACTCTTGCTAGGTTTTTCAAAGGAGTTTTTTCTGACACTAAGGAAGTTTATGAAAGGAAAAATGATGATGAAAAAAAAGGAAGTCTTTTGAACTTGTGGAAAAATGATTTGATGGACCTGAAGATTTAGAGAATGGAATGATATATTTAAAGAGATTGCTGGTGTAACATCATTTAAAAGTGTTAACAAAACCTACAGAATAGACAGCATTAGATCTTATTTTGCATCTTCCAAACATTTATTGTGTGATGAGGCTCATCAAAAATCCAGAAGAAAAGTAGCAAATGATTATTTTGAAGGACCAATTGATCATGCATTGAGAAAGCTTGGAGAAAAAAAACTTTAATTTCCTATATGTTTAAAACTGCCTATTGTGTAATAAGTGATGTCAGTCACCCTTTATGCAATACTTTAGAAATTGCAGGTAAAAAATAGATTGTTCAGATTTAGCATGTCTTGTTTTAAGATTTACATTTGTTATGGGAGATCTTCTTGAAATAGTGAGTACTCTGAGTTTAAGCATCCAAAAAGATGGTGCTGCTTTCATTGACTTTCTAGATTAAAGCAAACATATAAAATATGCACCTGCCTAACTTCAGCATAATATTTACATAGAATGCTGGTGAGATTTCTGACATTGTCATTCACAGTAACTCTCTGCAGTGTAGTATTCTTTGCTTACCTTTACAGCTCCTTTTATTATGTTTTTAAGTACTGTTACTATCCTTTTCTGCAATGAGTCTCTGCAGCTCTTCAACTGAAGTCTTATGCCATAAGATATTTCCACATTCCTTTAAATGAGTTCCAGCAAATTGAAATAAGACCTAAACTAATCAGTGTATTTTCACTGAATTGCAAAAATTGTTGTCTGCAAAGTTCTATTGTGACGTTAAACATGCGTGGCAATGGCCTTGACAACTGGACAACATTGATGTGATTTATTGACTGGCTTTTCAAGGCACCAGTTCAAATGTTTCATACCATGTGATTCATGCTCAGCCAATGACAGCAAATAATTCATGCTAAGGGTAGAAGAATATGTTTTGTGATGGTGCTAAACCCATGTCTGATCAGGAGCATTGCCTGTTATAGGTAGTATTTAGCAAGGGACTTGTTTGTGTACATTGTATTCAAAATTTAGGACACAGTCTTTAAGAAGAAAATGTTTTCCAGCATTTATCATAAGTTTATTGTTCAGGGTTTTGTAAAACATATTTGGGGCTCTGATCTTATGAGCATGTGCCTAGTGATGTTCATATTTCTGATTCAACCTGTATATTAATTAAATTCAATAGAATTCAATAGATATTTCTGAAATTTTCTAATTTTAATTTACCTATCATTTCATATATATTTTTCTAATTTAAAAATGAAAGTTTCACGTTGCTTTCTTGAAAGGTCAGTCAGTCTGTCTAAATTTCTTTTTATGTATAACCAAAAACTCCTTCAAATTTGAAAAGCATTTTTCTTCCACAGTGGCCATGTGGCAAACTCCTTGGATGCAGGTGCGCCACAGAGGTAAAGTGAGAGTCAGGAACCCCCGGGAACCACATTTTCCTCGAAAGCTAATATTGGAGGCAACCAAACCAGTATTTCCTAAACCATCACAACCGGATTGGGAACGCTGTAAAGAAATTTCTATAACTCTGAAAGAACAACCTGTAAGTTTTTAATTTCAATAAGAAAATTTAATCTGTTTTTGCAAGATTGTATCATATGATGTCAGATCTTGTATGACAATACCACACAGTGCTAGATTTTTCAATATATACTAATTAAAGTAATTAGATATTGGTTTACAAAACACATGCATTTTACTAACTCATACATGAGAAAGTTAATGCAGAGAAACTAGTTTTGAAAGAACAAACTTCCTACATAAAAGCATTCATCTGTTATGTACCAGTTCATCTATTTCTGTTCTGGGCAGGACTACATTAGACCTACAGTTAATTTAGTGTACAGAATTAGTTTTATACTTTTTAACATGTGAAAAACTTGTGTGATGAGAAACTGACTGATGAGGATTTTAAAACTTTGTGTTCGACCTTTAATGAAAAAAAAAACTGTATTTAAAAGAAACTTTTATATTATCATTTGAAGCTGGAACTTCACATTAATTAGATGGTGAGTCAAACTTTAATGCAGATATATGTAATCATAAGTTTTTAATCTAAATATGCAGATAACTTAGAATTTTAAATAACATTGTGTAACTTTGTAATCAACATGTAAACTTAGTGCAAATGAATGTCCAGTAGAGATAAAGTTCTTAACATCGCCATCTTTCATGTGAAATAATATGCATAACTTTAATTTGTGTTTTAATTAGTTAGTGAAATATGTTGGGGTACAACAAATACAGAAAAAATAACCCTTTAATCTTCTGAGCTATAAATAAGTTAAAACAATGTTGCAGATGAGTTATGTAACACCATTTCATTGCCATGGAAAAACTGTTTAAGGTCTTCAGTTTGCAACTCAACAAAATATTAGAAAGGGCAAAGCTTGTGTTCTTTATACTCATTGATTATACCTGAGACCTTGGCTGTTCATGGCTTATAGTGTGCATGGTGGAAACCCTTCACATAACTGCAGAATTTAAACAACTGAGTAATTGATAATATAACTCTTAAAATTGAAATGTTCTATACAGCTAAGAATATAACATAATAAGTAATTCCACCTCACTAGATTCCTAAAATCATCATTACATATTCATAGAATATAAACATAATCACTTATAATGAACCCGCAAAACAATTAAGAATGTTAAGGTGTCCATGTTATCGTATAGTCTGCTAAGGACAAGATATTCCTGTGATTCACAGGTACATCCGTATGAGCAACTACTTGCTAAAGAGTTAATGAAAGAATTGAAGGAATCAAGACTGATTGCATTCTTTCACAGAAACCCAATTACTGAAGAAGAAAAAAAGAAAATACGTAATATGCTTTTCAAGCAGGTGAGTTAAGTATTAAATAATAATGAAAAGTAAGTGATAAATGGCATAACATTACCTGAACTGTATAAGGATAAGAGATGAAATTCAGAAACATGAAGGGAAAGTTTTTAAGGTGGTGGTTAGTTTCTAATTTAGAATATTGTAAAAGGAACTTCAGTCATTTGTGGTTGTGTGAATATCCATTTTTAACTGCTTTAAGAAATGTAATGTGCAGTAGCAGAGATTGCCTTGACCAATAAGGAAATTATTTCAATGTACATATAGCTTTGTTAGAATTATAATAGTTTTAGAACATTGTTTTTTTTTTGCATGTTAATGTTTTGTTTTCTAAATTGCATATTTAAAATACAAAAGAATTAAATAAAAAAAAATTAAGTAACAAAAAATAAGGTTAACTTTCATCAAGATTTTAAGGATAAAAAAAAGTAACTAAAACAAAAAATAGATTAAAAAGATATTCAATGACATGTCTTGTGACATGTTTTAATTTGACTGAGCCTGCTGGTAACTCAGTGCTTTGTTTTCAAAGCTTTGCTGTGATAATTTGTTTTGGTGTTAATCGAAGTAGCATTAAAGCAATAAATCTAAATGGCTGGGAGATTTGAATTATATTAACTTTGGATGTAAGAATAAACAGCATGTATTTGTCCTTAACAATAAACTAGCATTCTAAAAACAAAGAAGTGTAATTTTGAGCTATTTCTTAATTTTTTATGTTGGTTATGAAATTGGTCAAATGGACTTAGTTCATATACAATGTTAGGGTAGAGAAAGTATAAAGTTTTACTGAAAAAAAAAGTTTATATTCGTTTAGGATAGTCTACAGGTAATTCAAATGGAATCTGAAAACTATAAAGTGAAAAAACATGAAATTACCTTGCACTCAGACTACTAATAGTCTGACTTCATAAATTCAGACAAATCTTTAGTAAAAACACTTAATTAGAAATCAGATTTTTTTCTTGCAATGTTCATTGAAAGCTTGTCAAATTTCATGAAAATACACTTATTGCATTAAAAGTTGTATGTATAGTTTAATTATTAAATGGTGGTTACAGGGTTGGTCAAAATAACCAAGCCCATATACAGAAGGTTAAGCTGACTTAATAGACAATGTATTATAGTAGAACAGTTGTTCCTTTCTTCATAGGAATGTTTGTGGAAATTCAAAAAGAGAAGAAAAAAATCACTTAATATGATTGTTTATTTTAGAATTTTCATTTGAGGACTTATAACAACAGCACTGTCAGACTTGCTTTGAGAGGGACACCCTATGAAAGTATTCTTCATCTGATTACATCTCATAATGCTATGGTTTTCAGTCCAGAGGATCATGCTGTGAAACTGTTACAACTTGACAAGAAAATGCCTCAGTTTATTTTACTTGGTAAGCATTTGCCATATGATTGGATTGAATATATATATTCTAGCATAAATTACCAGCTGATAAGGAGTAAGATTTGAACAATTGTCATCAGTAGATTATTTTATTAGCATCTTCAGTGTGCGGTTGCTTGACATAATAGGTACAGTTAATAACATGTTTACCATTTCATAACTAAACAAAATTATAAAGCAAGAGGAGTTTAGTATGTGTAATTTCTAATGAGTTGCTTAAAAATTGGAGAAATTATTTCCTTCAAGTATGTTGATTTGCAAGGAAAGGTTTTTATATTTTAGTAAGTTAAATAATCTTAAAGTGTGGTTTGCCTTATAAAATTGGTGAGATTGAAGATTTCTACAAATGAGGTATTTATCTATTGTTCTCTAAAATAAATCAATTAAATGAAGTAAGACTTGTATGAAACAATTTTATTGTATTCTATATTGAAAATTCAGTTTTTACTTCTGCTCTGCTGAAACTTTTCCAGCATTTCTGTGAATAAAAAAGTCGATTTTTAACATAAAAATATAATATAAACAGAGTGGTTACCTTTGTTATCAGTGCTCTAGCAAAATATAGTGAAAAATGCAACATAGTTCTTAAGCATTTCACTTTTGTACAGTTAAGATTGTCACAATGTATTGTCATTCTATTGATCATATCTTATTTATAATTACTTAAAAAAAAAAATTACAAGATTATAACATAAAATATCTCAAAATATAAAATATTTGTTAAAATAAAGTTATTTAATGCATTTCTTACTGGAAATTTCTTTATTTTGAGTAAAATCATCTATTGATTAACAAATGAAAATCCTTGGAGGACCTGACTACACTTGAGTGGGATATAAATTGGTAAGAATGTGTGGTAACTGACAAGAAAAATCTGACAACTCATTCTGTTGTGAAAAGCTTAACAGGAATGGTAACAAGAATTTCACTCAGCATTATAATAAACCTGTGTACTATGTGTATACATTCAAAGTATCGGGATAAACTCTCAAACCTGTTACATGTGTCTCAAGTGTTTTCCTGTAATTTTTTTCTTCTGGGCAACTTGTTCATACAAGTCAACTCTTCTTTCAGAAATAATAGATAAGTGGAGCCTTCACAAGTTAAATATGAAAAAATATTAACACTCACTTATACTGAGGAAGAAAACTATAAAAATAACTATCCTCATTCAGGAGAAAAATATTATATTTAATTAAAATTGGTGTAAACTGAAGTGTTTCCATGTCAGGATTATAACATAATACTTTGGAACAACATGGGACCTATTGGTCCATCTCAGCTGTTCCATCCTCTAAACTAAACTAAAACTATTAATAAATAAATGTTTTAAAAAATCTTAAAGCCAACCCTTTTTGTTCATATACTTATCAAGCTTTTTCTTAAACTCACTTAAATTTACTGCCTCCGCAACATCTGAAGGTAACCCATTCCAAAGGCCAACCACCCTGTTAGAAAAATAAAACTATCGTAGCTGAAAATGATTCCTATCCTGCCAAAATTTATATTTGTGTCCCCTAGTCCTACTATACACAACCCCAGAAATACAAGTTGACTCCCTCAATGGCATCATTTGCAGTTAACCCTGATGCATAACTACAGGTATGAATATTAAGAAAACAGAATACAAAGAGCCATGCTATGAATGAATTTACCCAATATTCTCAAGGTAATACAGATGTATAATATAAGGGTGGTTAAAGTCAGTGAGTAATTGGTAGGTCACTTGCAATAACTGTTCACAGTGAATAGGATGACAACACAGTACCAGTTACATTGAAAAACAATAGTTTCTGTTAGGCCCAGGTACCCAAAACCAAAGGGGACTGTTCATGCTGTGAGGAGAAGTATGGAGAATGTCATGACCTTTAATGTTACAGGAAATGTGTAATTGTACCTCAATACCATCATGAATTATTTACGTAGCATAGGCTACAATGACAGAGTAGCTAGACAGAAGCTTTTACAGGCATTATTGTGTGTCAACAGCAGTGAGTATCATACACCCTCCTGCCTTTTGAGACACTGTTATTTTTTATGGTGTAAAGCTTCGTGTGATTCTCAGGCTGTGGATATCCACACCTTGGTTTGGTTAATATTCTCCAAAAGTTCTTTTACTGAACCATCTAGAAGTCATGATAGAGTATAGCAATATTTCTGGTATGGTCTGGGGTGCCATTTTGGGAGCTGGATGATCATGGTAGGTTGTATGTTAAGGGATGGTCACTGCTGCTTGATATATCATAATTCTTGGGTAAGGCCCTCTTTTATCTATGCCAGTGAACAACTTATCACGAAAGGCAGTGTTTTCATACTTTCTTGTTTATTCAGCTTGAATCACCAAATAATAACACTTTTATCCCAAAACAATGTACTATTAAGACCAAGTTTTCTTGTACATTTTAAGACTATTATGTGCTCCTAACAATTAACTGGTTTTAAGTTTTTATTGTGCGTGTTGTAATTATCCTACTTGTCTTTTACATTTGTCCATTTATATATCACCATCAGTTTCGGTTGTGTTAGGTCTCCTTTTTTTTACTTGTCTTGGTGTATATACAGAAAGTATTGCTATTGTATTACCATATTACTTATATTCACTATGAGTTAGTCACCATATTTTCTATAAACTGAAAAATTACACAAAATAAGTGAGAACTTCATTTCTAAGAATAATCATCTTGTGGTTTATATTATTGGTTTTTTTTTTACATCATTCTTAAATTATATAATTACTCTTGCAGGTGGAATTATAGACAATCGGTTACTCAGTCGAGAAGGGTTCAGAGTTTATAGTCAGCTTCCTTCATTAAAAGTGATGCAAGCACAAGTTTCTGCAACCCTTTCTATAGCAAGTGGTGGACGCCTGTCAACCTTACTCAATCACCACCAGAGGGCACTGTTCAGGAATCTAGAACAGTATTCAAAAAAATAGAGAAATAAACTTTTTTTTTTTCTGTGAGTGAGTAATGTTATTTGTACTAAAACTAGAAGTATAAATAAAGTGTATATAGATATGTTTTAGTGACTACCAAGCATTTATTCTTAAACAATGGTCACAGTTACTGTAATAATTTGAAATGTTACTGCACATTTACTCATCAGTATAAATTCATTTCATTCAATCAATCACTGAAAGATAAAGAAAAAACTGGAGTATTATTTTCAATATACTTCACTTTGGCATAGCAAAGTACAGCTTGTTGTGAAAATAACTGCTCCATTTTATATGATAATCTGTTGAGATGCAAAACTGACTGGAGAACCAAGTATTTTCTTGTAAGACTGAAAGCTTTATGGATCAATACCTAGTTATGATATTATATAAAGAATGATGGCATCAGTTTTAAAGTGTATTAGCTTAGGCATGACTGGATGTTACCTAATCTAAATGAAATGGCAGTAGTACAGCTGTAAGTATACAAAATTATTAACATTATATACATTTAAGACATAAATATACAACAGTGTATGGAGTATAAGCCTGCTATCTATTTCAAGAAAGCTTGTTGATAGGTGAAACCGTATTAACTAAAATCAGAGCTTGGCATGGGCAGGTAGTTAGGGTACTCCACTCACAATCTGTAGGTCGTGGGTTCAAATCACCATCCCAACAAACATGCTCGCTCCTTTCAGCCATGGGGACATTATAATGTGACAGCTAATCCCACTATTCATTGGCAAAAGAGTAGCCCAAGAGTTGATGGTGGGTGATGATGACGAGCTGCCTTCTCTCTAGTTTTTCACTGCTAAATTAGGGATGGCTAGCACAAATAGTCCTTGTGTAGCTTTGCACAGAATTCAAAACAAACTAAATTTAGTCTTTCACCTTTACACATTACTCAATTAACTCTACCTTATAAACTTTTTAACATTGGCTTCGACTAGTTAACGTTTATAGTCATATTAGTATACATTAATGTTAAGCTAAATCACACTTATATGTTGCAGGTCTAATTAATGTGTTTTTATTGGTCACTGGAAGGCAGGGATGGTTATACTTGACTTTCAAGGAAAAATAACTACAAATAATATTCTGCATCACTTTTATTATATTACGTTTGTAAAATGAAATAAATAAGATAACACTGCAATGAGTGAGAAGCTTATTATTTTTTAATTTTTCTTATAAAGTTCTGACAAAATTAAAGAGTAAATGACAGAATAAACTTTTGAATTTTTAAGATATCTTTCTATCTAAGAATCTTAGTCCTCGTGTATCTTCGTGCGAAATTCAAAACAAACAAACCCAAAGTCATAGCTGCATGTGGTGTTAAAAACAAGTAAGATATAAAAGCTATGGCAAAATACAAACAGTTAAGATAACTTGGAGGTTATAACTCATTTATTGTTTGCACTAAATCATTAAAAAAAACTAGTATCAGTGAAACTTGTATATATTAGTTACAGAAACCTGTTAATTCAAAATTATATGTTATCAGTTCTAAATTTTCATGTAAATATCTGTGAAACATTACTTTTTTTATTTGAAATTGATAAAAGTAAGGTTTTGTTCTCTGTATAAAGAAAAGAAAAAAATATCTAGTAAAAATAAAATTAACTGGGGCTGAAATGAATTGAAGCCTCATGAAAGAATGATTTTTAAACATTGTTGCTATTTTGTTTTGTTCATATGAATGGCTGAAACTTTGAAGGGTGGTAGGATTCTTAATTTTGAACAAAAACCAAATGAAGAAATCAGCTTTAAAGACTGACATATTAATTGAATTGTATTGATAGAAAGTAAAGACAATTTGTATGTTTTGACAACAGTATTTTGCATTTTCCCCTGGTGAGAAAAAATTAAAATCTTAAACCCTTGACAAGAACAACTCCATATTAGATTTTATCTAATGTTGAAAGTATAAAAACTTTCGCAACTTTAGTTCATGATATTTTACATGCGATGAAATAAAGATCCTCATGTAACCTATCTAGCGAAATATTCAATGGTCCCAGAGTTGTAAAATAAGCAGCTTAACATGATATATAGTATAATAAATACAATATGAAACTCCCTAAGCTATGCTTAGTTCTGTAAGGAAACTAAACAATGGTAAGTAGAAATATATGGAATGATAAAGTGATATTAACAATAATGTTGTATTAGGTTGGAAAATAAGAGTAAAGATAGCACAATCACAAGTCTAGCTCAACAGGGAGGAAGGTGAAAGTCGTGCTTTTATTCTTGGCTTTTTGCAACAAAAGTTGATGGTGGGTTCTGTTGACTAGCTGCATTCCTTCTAGTCTATCAGTTCAAAATTAGGGACAGGTAACACAGATAATCTTTGTGTAGCTTTTTAGTAATATCTGAAACAAACTGAGAAATATCAAAATACAGCATTAAGAAGATTTATAAAATTTCTAAAGTTCAATATGTTATTATCAAAGTATGTTTAATGTATATACAGATTCAGGAAAACTCAACTTAAACTTTCATATTTGAAATTGTTGGATAATATTTTTTTTTTAGAATAAAATGTGTTGAACCATTTTTGCAAGGTAATGTTTAAATAGCCTATTGAATGTTAATTTAAATTCTATAATTTGAAGTTGTGTCACTTCTAGTGGAACAGATATTAGACAAAAATGTTCACTGTCCGCAGAAATCATGAAATTTCATATATGAGGGTTTAAAGGTATCTTGATATCAAAAATTCATGGAAGCAAATGGTCAGACAAAAGCTTCCACTTCACCTTGAGAGGATCTTGGTGGATGGAGTAGGTATATGCCCCTCCCCTTTTGTCGAATAGTTGTTCTTTGAGTATTGGATTGCCCACTTGTGCCTATATGTAAAATGCATTTAATCTTTTTTTTTTTCAGCTTCACAACATATTTATTCTCTCCTTATAAAATTCCGGATCCATCTTTTGAAAACTGAGGCCCAATAAAGGTGGATGCCTTTCATTTAACAAAGTTCTGAAAATGATGAACTATCAATGTATGACATGTTTTCATTGAAAAAAATGTAATTTTTTTTCTGCTTCATAATAAAAAAAGTAAAGAACCCTAATCAAAATGATTGCTTAATACGAGAAATTTCTGTAAATTTAGGTACTCAAGCTTGATTTTCTTAGACATCATTGACCATTCAATTCACTGTATATGTTGTGAAATCTTTAATGTTGACTACTATTCTGCACTTTGACATCCACCAACAGACCCACTATCACTTTTGGAAAATAAGTCATTTGCAAAATGTGAATACATTGGTGTCCATGCTGTATTGAATCAAGTGACATTGAGTATGCTAGATTACAATTCTTAATCATATTTAGCTGATTTTTAAAAATTTACTACACATTTTGGCTAATTATTTTTTAAAACCTAAAATTGTTTTCTGTGCTGAACTTGAAAACTTATTTCACTGTCCCTATACCTTCCTTGTGTTTAGGATATCTAGCTATATTATGCTGTGAATAGTTATCACTTTCATTAATTAATAGAGTATCTGTATTTGTACTCTCCAATAAAATATTTTCAAAACTCAGTTGAGCAATAATAGTTGAAAGTTATAAACAGAGAATTTGTGTTTCAGCTTTTTTCATCAAAAAGCAGAATGCTTTAATCATGCTTACTATTACAGTGTCCTCTTATCTAAAACTGCTTTTCTTTTTTTCTTCGGGAAAGCCTTAAAATGCATTTTTCTACAGAAAGCATAGTTACTTTTCTTTCAAAGAAAGTAATTTCAAACAGTGAGACATAACCTTGCCACATACAACATTTTATATGAGTGTATTGTGACAGTGTTACTTGCCTAAATGTGCACTTGATCTTGTCTGGTGGAAAGCCACATTTCCTGATTGCTAAGGAAAGCATGTGTACTTACCATTTTATCTGAGGTTTTCTCACAATCTAAATATTATTATTATTATTCACATGATTTTCATTTTAATTCAAAAGGAGGAAGGAGCAAGTGTACTTGACTCATTATTGCAACTATCATGTTTCACTTGACTCATTATTGCAACTATCATGTTTCACTTGACTCATTATTGCAACTATCATGTTTCACTTGACTCATTATTGCAAATCTCATGTTTCATTTGACTCATTATTGCAAGTATCATGTTTCAATTACTCGTTATTGCACCAAGGCAATAATTTTGTTTTGTAGTATTTTTTAAACTTTTAAGTTTATATTATAAAAGATGTGAAGAATTGAAGGAAACTAGGTGTTTTGAGTAATAAAATGTGACATAAATATTCATGTTAAGATAGCTAATACCAAAGTAGTTATTTAAATATAAAATATCATAATATTCTCCTTTTGAAGTTACAACTTGCTTCTATAGATATTTGAAATCAGCATACCTTAAAACATCTCATGTAATTTTTTTCAATATACGCACCCAAATGCTAAGATAAATCTCATATCAGTGAAGTCATAAAAAGCAAATTTGTGTAATTTGATGTGTCTAAAGGTATGTCATAACACTAAATCTTAATTTTTTAAGTTTATTTGCTATAAAATCTATAAAGTGGATATAAAAAATACAGATTCAAAACAAAACTACAACAACATACCTTGTTTATAACTTATTCATAGTGCGGGTTAACCTCTCAGCCACATGTTTAATCAGATTATACACGTCAGTTCTGTGTATTTTGAAACTAATCTAAGATGGATTAAGAAAATATTTCCTGCAAACAAAAAAAAATAGTTCAGAAACAACGCATCACCAAAACATGATTTGGTAATAATTAGAAGAGATTTGCTGTAGGGAGATAGAAAATATAATGAACCATTACAAAGGTATTTGGAATTGTTGCGATGGCTCAGTGGTAAGTTTGAGAACTTATAACAATAAAATTAGAAGTTTTATCCTTTAAGTAGCACAATGTAGATAGCCCGTCATATAGCAAACTAGCTAAAAAGTTTTTGATACTACAGAATACGAAAGTGTAAAACAAACTTTAAATGTAGGTCAACGTATCTGAAAAAATAATGACTTTCAAAATAATTAGAAGTTTCTTAAGAAGAAGAAAACACCAAGAGAACGAGAAATAATGGAAACCATTGTTATTGCAACTAATTACTGATGACTTCTAAGTGATAGGCCAAGTATGTCCCAGTGCTTAGCATGCTGTGGGTACATTATAAAAGTAATGGTCAAATCCCACTTTTCAGTCAAACAGAAGATAGCTCAAGTGTTGACAGTGGGTGATGTTGACTAGCTGTCTTCCTTCTAGATGGATAATTTCTTTTTTGCTTTTTATTACTTATTAATTTGAACATCAAATATATATATATATATATATAATTTAAAAAATTCTGTTTGTGGAATACCAAATATATAGTTTTATACTCTGTTCTTTAACAACTTGGAGTTAAACATTTGAACTGTTATGCAGTTTAGGGTACAGCTACTACTTGTAAAGCACCACCAGTGATACAAATAGCTGTATTGAGTAATATTTTTTAATGTTGTGTATAGCAAGTTAAATATTCTGTAAAATGGTGGATTGTCCTTTGAAAATCGCAATGGAGTGTTTCCAAAAAATGAGAGCTTGGGAAAATTAATTTAAAAATATAAATTTACTGGAATCCCTTTTCCCTTCAACTTTTATACTCTAACTAAGCCTCGTGCAAATCATTTCGCTCAAGCATTTAAAGTTTAAACAGACTACGCTTTATTACACATACAAAATATTCTGGACATTACACAATGTGGGGTAGTAAACGGAAATCGACGAAAGGAAGAGTTATGAACCATATGTATGAAATGGAAATGTAATGAATCACGTTTTATGTATCAAAACAATTAATGAGATAAGCTTAAAAGAATTTATAAGAATCTTAAATAGACCTGAGTGAAATATATACAACAAATAAGACGTGGCAGAAGAGTATTATTCGCTGTTATGTATCTTTCCAGTGTCTAATTATATACACCTTATGTTGACTTGGCCAGGTGGTTAGGGCGCTTGAGTCGCAATCTGAGGGTCACGGGTTCGAATCCCCGTCCCACCAAACATGCTCGCCCTTTCAACCGTGCGGACGTTATAATGTGACGTTGGTACAAGAGATGGCGGTGGGTGGTGATGACTAGCTGTCTTCCCTCTAGTCTTTCACTGCTAAATTAGGGACGGCTAACGCAGATAGACCTCGTGTAGCTCTGCGCGAAAATTCAAAACAAAACAAACTGTAGACTTACGTATATGTACTTTGTTGCCTACATGTAGTTATGTATAAACGTCTGTCTATACGTTATAATCTTATCAGTAAGTAAACCATGGAGTGTTTTTAAGGCTCACTTATCGAGTATATTTACTCTATTCAGTACCAGACTAAAATGTATTGAAGCTGACTAGTATACGGACCTTGATATTTATGAAATTAGGCCAACAATAGAAAAAAACTGTTAAAATCTCTAGCCTGTAGGCCTTGAGATTTTATTGATATAAAAATTTAAATTCGACATTATTTTATGGAGTCAATAGGAGCGGAAAGTGTTCTGAATATCTTATAATCTACACGAAGATGCCAAAGCCATCATTCATTTCGAAATCCATAGAAGGTGAAGGTGCAAGCACTCAGTTCCCATATCAAGAGAGACAGATCGTTGAAGTATAATTTATATAAATCTTAAGGGCTGAAACTTTAAGAACTAAACTCTTTTTTTTATCGATCCGTATTACAAACAAGTTCATCATCATGTCCGATATTTTTGTAATGAAGCCCAAAGCTACACAATTGGCTAACTGTGTTCTGCCCACCACGAGTATCAAAACCCTGTTTCTAGCGTTGTAAGACCGAAGACGTGCCGCTGTGCCATTGGAGGGCATCTGTTATGCAAATCATAAGAGTTTATAACATTATAAAGGATTTAAAAGTTAATTCAGGATGTTGTGATGATATAAAAGTTGAAAAAACTCGGTTAGAGGGATTAGAATTTCGCATGTGAACGACACCTTATGCAGAGGTCTGGCATGGCCTGGTGGTTAGGTCACTCGACTCGCACACTGTGGGTCACAGGTTCGAATCCTCGTCACCAAACATGCTCGCCCTTTTAGCTGTGGGAGCGTTATAATGTTACGGCTAATCTCACTATTCGTTTGTAAAAGAGTAGCCATTAGGGACGGCTAACTCAAATAGAACTCGAGTAGTTTTTCGCGAAACTCAAACAAACCAAACACCTTATGCACACGTGAACTTAACAGTCAGGTCATAAACTGCTAGAGATCAGGTACAGATATATCAAAAAAACATTCGTGGCAGGTGTTTGGTTTTAAAAGGAAAGAAACTTTCCTCAACTGAGGTGTTCAGGGATATTAATATCCCTTTCGCCCTGTTTGTGGAGATCACGTTTAATTAAAGTGGACTTTTAATAACTGTATTAGGATATAAGTCCTGATTTAAATTTTCCAGTGGGAATTGGTGAAGGGAGAGATGGCGAAGCAAAAGGTCAAGGTTGACATCCCGGATTTCGACAGACATTGACAGCTCATAATTAGGATCACATGTTGTCGGAGATCTATAAATCCAATGCCGTGGAATTTGTTTTGGGAGGAAACGGGAGTACCCCGAGAAGACCCACTTTCGCAGGACAGGCACCGAATAATCTACCTGTCCTGTGCTCAAGCTGTAAGAGAAAAACATGGGATTAATTATAAAGTTATAACAACTTATACAAAGCTCGTGGATATTCTGTGTTTCCCTGCGGTACATATTGTATGTGAATATTGTTTTGTGTGGTGCACATGTAATGGTGTGAAGGGCAGAGGTTAATGTGTTTCTTGTTTCTGATATTTTGTAATAGTTTTTAGTCAATGTATCTAGCCTGTCCTTAAACAGTCGTATTTTACTTAGTTTGTGTAAATAGCTAATGGTATAACTTCGAAGCCTTAGGGCTAACCTTAGTACTCTATTCTGTTAATATTGTAGTTTGTTTTTTTTATAGTGTTGTCTGACATATTTATAGTAACTTGTCAGCCATATTCAATGATGGGTCGAATATACACTTTATAGATTTTTAAAATAGTGTTAGC